AAGAAGCACCAGCTTGTAAGCTATTCCCGTCATAAAAATTTGACTTTGACTTTGTATCGCAATTCATGTCCAAATGTTAAGTAGGACGGGGGAATCATAAAACCCGGGAGGAATATCCATCATTATTCGAGTTCTATAGCCGCATGGTGCTCAAACATGGTCACATTTACACATTCGTTTTGACCACGAGAGGTAGATGACTGTGCTGTGTTGAGTATGCACCATAGAAGACCGAGTGTTCCTAGGACTAATTTGCCTGTATAGAGAGATAGGCGAGCTCCAATAGTTTCCACTGTGACCAGCTATGTTTCCCTTAAATCAAAGTAGTGACGTGTAAATCGATGTCTATCAAAAAGGTAGTGATCTTATTTGAGAACCGTCGATGACTCGAAATGCTGTGCAATAGGCATTCTGGATATTGATTTCGAGAGAGTGAACCCATGTTCACTCTGAATGCTATAGTCTTTATCTATCCTTCTCATACTAAAAGCCATGCAGTGGATTAGTTTTTTCCGGCCTTAATGGAAAAGAAGATTTTCAAATAAATATCCGGATTATTCCATGCTGGCTGACTGTTTATGGCGCGCTGGATACTTCCGTCTGATCGATGATTTAGGGAAACGTCTGGAAATGCAATCTATTCATTTACAGTGTTCCTCAGAATAAACTTTATGAGTGGAAATACTCGGTCAAATATTCTTGAGAGTCTTGACAGATTTACGTGAATATTTATTTCCGGTTTGATTGTGAACACATTAGGGTATTTCACTAGGTCAATCGGTTGCTTTAGTAGTTGATACCTAAGTCCTTACGCTTGTTCTCGATCGATTACGCAGGGTATCGTTGAATTCGGCTTCCCACGGATGATAATATCTTAGACACCTGAGCAATTTCGACCAAATACCGATTAAATTCTGCAAAACCTCTGGCAATACTGTCTCTGTCACTGTCAGTGTTACCGTGTGAGGTCACACTGGTAATATAAACAACTTCGTCGAAGGCACCTGGTGTAGGTTTTAAGGAATTCGGAGTTTTTGGAACATTCATGGATGATACACTCAAATGTCTGCGCCACGGCAAAGACCTGTAGAATAATCACAGCATAGAAGCTTATTCACCATTGTGTAGTGTTATTCTGGTCAGACAATCTCCAACACATATTTGACAAATCTTGTTTTAATCAAATATTAGGCAGCATGGATATGAAATTATGGTGCTACGGTTCAGGGATAATAAAAATATCAATGTATGTGGTGGTTACTCGTGAACACATTAACTCGGTGTGGTAAAATAGTTGTTATCTTTAGTGCTACGATTATTAATTTCTGTGGTCGAAATTATAGTGCATCCACAAATCACTTCTCTTGAGGTGAGAAAAATAGTTGCATTGTAAGTGAAAATTGTATCACGATCGATCGAATAACGATTAGACGGTTCATATTTAGTGGCACAAGATGCCGAAACTAATCTTCTTATCCTTTTCGCTTTTACACATCGAGAAAGCACATAGTGTGTAAATACATAGTAACCGTAATAGTCGTTTTGGCGGGTCATACTATGTGTTAGGCTTTGTAGTGTTGTTTTCATTATTGTTTTCCAATTGAAAACCTGTATATCAGACTTGTGCTTCGTTCAGTGGATTCCAATCTAACCTAAAGGTTGCAGTGTTTAGTAATCGATGCATTTGGGCTGTAAATCATCTTTCTGTTTTCGTGCACCCGGATTTCGCGTACGCACGTTGATGTTCACGTTTGTCTGAGTCAGTACTTTAAAGCAAAATGTTCAAAATAATGATTTTTATATGGAGTTTCTTTAAATAGTCGTGTTTATAGTGGGCTATTTCTTACCCTCCGACGAAAACAGACTGCTTCATTTGAAGCACTTTGCAAAGCTAAGCACATTCCTACCGAAAATTGTCTTTGTATATTCGATAAAATGAAGCAAAAATGAAAATTTCTGTCGGTAGGATTTGAACCCACGACGTTTTTGCATAACGCTGGATATACCGACTGAGCTTCGAGAACATACCGAGAGTACTGATATTTTCACATTCCCATCATCCGCTCAACATACAGAGGTGTACAGAATTCACAAAGTATCACGTAGTCTGACTACCCCGATGTGCGTTTTGTAGAATTTATCGGTAACAATTGAATGAATACCTAAATTGGGGTAATCTATTCACGTTTGAATGTTCGGCAGAGTAAAGCATAATGTTTTACTCTTCCTGAAGCACTCGGACTTACTGACGTTCAAAACCTCAGTCTGTCGCTGACGATTCCGAATCAGTCTCAGTGGGTCGATATGCAATAAGCGCATTCCGTATATTTTGTCTAATATTGATGAATCAAAACTCGCAACTGGATCATGTTGACTGTTATGACCGGGCCGGGATGGCAATATCTTGAAATGAACAAATCAGAANNNNAGAGGCGAACATAAATATCTGCAATAATTACACCACCGGACGCCGCATCGAGCGCGCCCAGCGAGATGGTGGTCAATTGGGATTAACCTGGAACACATCTTACTTACACAATTTGTACCTTTGGGGGCAGCATGTTTAAAAAAATATGAGCAATATTAACGATTGCAATTTGTGGGCCTGAATAACTGAAACTTTTAAATGCGATGACACTGTTTGTGATAACTGACAAAGAGTACTGCACAGGTGTTTCGTCCTGTTTCGAACTCGTCAGCAACGCGTACCTTATGTGTCCCTGTAAGGAACCGAACCGAAAAGCTTCGTTTTTGGGAATTCCAACCCTTACCCCTGAGCTAAATGGTCGATGGTCATCACTTTGCGCGGATGGCTTAGTTAATGTAGATAGTAAATGCTTGGATTAGAGACCAACACCCAAGATCATCCACAGTGCCATGTGCTTGTGAACAACCGACTGGTTAATCTAAACGTCCACCATCGAAACTTAATGCTTTATTTCAGAAACTCATTAGTTCTGTTATGAAAGATATTCCATGGAAAACCGAAGAAGTTGATACACTTTTCATCATTTATTTTTCGTATTCGCTGAGCAGCATCAACAGTAGACTAATTTTGCGCTATCAAAATAGACAACTAAAATGATGATAGAAGTTTTCATCCATTAGGTAGCAAGGATGTTAGAACCAGAACTGAATTGTTCAACACGAGCTTCATGCAATCAAAGTCCAACTGTTCAAATTGCAATTTGGCAAAATGAAGAATTTTATCTAAATCTTGAAACATTCAGTAGCCTTGGTGGGGTTTCGATGTTTAGCTTTGAGTCAGAAGTCGTCAATTAAATGTTCACCGTATCAATATGTTATCTCCCACAGGTACGGCATCACTTGCGCCGATCCGTGAACAAATTTCGCCTGATGCATTGCAGTTCAATGGACTCGAACTTGCGCCAATCCCGACTGGTGAGTATGACTCGACTAAACATGAGTTCTGTACGGAAAACGCACCCGGTTGAAGTTTAGCATCTCCACAAGGTGCAGAAGATCATCAAACCAACCAACCATTCACGAATATGATGCTAGGAATCAGAAGGAAAAAAGTGTATCATCAGGTTTTAGAAGAAGAAGAAAACGGATCATGTTGTGTATAGTACATCTGTACAGAGCATATTGTGTGTAAGCAATTATTATCTGTTCTCTCAGCGTATTCGTTTACGTGGCGTACTTGTAAAACTCGTCCATTGTTCTCGGAAGCAGATTTACGAGAACTCTTATTCCAATTCTGTTCGGTTTCATTTGTATGTGTAAAGCTTATCGCACAATCATTTCTCAAATATGGTTTTATTATTATTTGAATTGCATATACACTTAATGTGTTTCAGATGCTGGGGACATTTTTTACCCACGTACTGATCACGTTTTCGTGTAAATTGCTTGTGTTTGCAATACAGCTATAATGAAAGTACTTGCATGCGGCTTTCCTGGATTGTTTAATGAGTCCTTTGGCTGGGGTTTAACAATAAATGCGGAAGCTGATTGGATCAGATTGAAACACGGTTTTCATCAGCTCTTTGCATGGCAGTGGAAGGTGTAGAAAAACTGTATTTATCCAACTCTCCCCACTCGAAACAATTTGATTGAAGAGTTTGGAAAACATGACACCGCAACCGTGGCCGGGTAGATACACTGGCTACTATGCCATATCTATAGACCGATCTCCTTCCGGTATACATCCACTCAGCAGTAATATTCTGGAGTTATTTGTGACAGATACCATTATCAGTGGGCATGTGGAGGCAGCACTAGTCCTCAAACGAAAAGCTGAAATCCACGGATTTGAGAAAGAACAGCTTGTTGTCAAGACCGTTCAATACAGGCCAGAAGCAGAACAATCGCCCAAAATTGAGATATTTAGCATACAGTCATTCGATTACAACTGCAACTAAATGTAAACTTTATTAATCAGGAAAGGAGAAAAACATTCGAAAAGAAAATACTTATTTGTTGCCAACAGAAATGTTGATAGAATGCAATGGGTGTTTCAAATATCAGTTACTCATACGCAAACCGTTTTGGTTTGAAAATCGTCAAGTTATTCAAAAAAGCATTTTCGAGAAGTGTCGATTTCCTAATGAAAAAGATACCCTTGTGATCAACAGGCATTGTACAAAATCTACCACTAGATAAGATAACTGGATATGTAAGCCGTTATCATTGACACGTTGAGTGTCTAAAACATCAAAAANCCAACTGTTTTCGTTAGATTTCACAACTGATTTAAGAAATCTTCCAATCGGCAAAAAAACCGATCAAACGTGTAGCTATTTTGAACGCACTGGGATTAATCTAGGTTCACCGAAAATGACATAAGACCACTAATATTCCTCTGCACTTACACTTGGCAACTGACGTCCAATGACGAAAGCAATCACCATCTAAAGGGGGTGTAGCAATGGGGTCTCCGCTAGGGCCAACGTTGACCGATGTTTTAGAAATCGAAAGCGGTCTGCTAAAATCACATTTCAAACAATGTGTATCTTACAAAAGTTAAATTTACGATATTATGTTCGTGGTCGATTCAACAACGTATGTTTAACATATATTATCTCTTAGAGGTCAATTCGTCGTGTACATAGCAAATGAAGAAGAGGTAGGAAGCACTGGACGGGTGTTTCGACCTGGTTGGATGTCATCAGCAGTGTTAATCCATCGACTCAATTGGGGATCGAACCCGGGAATCCACAGGCAGAACGCAAGCAAGCTAGCCACTCGGCCACCCGACAGCTATTCAGATCGCGTTTCATTTACACAATATGTCTGTTCTTTTTGTCCCTTTACTTCCTTTGTATTTATTGAATATACTGATGTACAGTAAACATTCAGGAAGCGGGGCCGCGGTCACACAAAGTCTACTTCAGAAAACGGGCAGCGTTGGAGTGGTTCGAACCCGGGACTCACAGGTTACAAGGTAGTGACGTAACCACTAAGCTACCATCGCCCTAACCCATCTTAGCGAGCTTGTTGCGGGCCACAGACCTCACTTATTCCAACACTAGCCTCCGGTTTTTTTCTCGGTCATTCAGTTCACGCTCCATTTGCCATATACACGACGAATTCACCATGAAATGGAACCATAGCCCCTATTACTCTTAATAATATTATTTAAATGCTGCGCATCGGTATTCGACCCTTGTATGTTGTTAAAACAGGACGGTCTGGACAAATATGGTATGCATTGTAGCCACAGCGGAGGCAGTTACCATCCGTCTTCATAACCCCCGTGTTTTACTCAAAAATAATTAGTGTAAGCACTCGAGCTCCCGTGGCTGGATTGATGACAAGTCTCCCGTCATGAAACATTGTACCAAATGATAATTGAGTACCAATTATGATATAAATACTTTAATTACTTTCCCTTTTCCCGTTTCAAATCCTTACTTGTTGTTTTATCATATATATATATATTGTGTTGTAAGGGCATAATTACGACACACTGAAAAAGAGATTGTTCACCAATTTGTATTAGGCATTATTGTGATTGATACATTGTCAGTCCAATTATACCACCTACATTATACGACCTGCACATCCATACAAAATGTGCAATGTTTCTGAAACAGTTTTGGTGATGTACACAATAGAAAGCGTGCATCCAAAGTCATAGTCTGGTTGGTGGGCAGAACGGGCACTTTTGCACTGAAATGGACGCTACAAGGTCATGATTGGGAAAATAACGATGTGAGGTTAATTAGCATACTCCAATTAGTCGACTAGTTCCGTTGTAAGGCCGGTAGATGAAGGTCTGATTTGAACGCAAATCGTTTGACCCGGTCAGTACAGGATTGACTTGTTGGTTGGAACAATAGGCGGAATATCGAGTTTCATCTTTGGATCGTTTAATATCGACCAAGGTTGTTGGGCTATTCATTGTAGTCATCGTGAAAGTACAACTCACAAGTAATCGCGGTTGAGTCAATAAATCATCATAGAGCGAAGTTCATCAACGTTTCCTTGGGTAACGAATAAACCAAATTCTGAGGAAGCCAAAGATATATTCAGCTGGTAAATGCGAAGATAAACCCGTCAGCTTCTAAAAGGATACGCGGAATACTAACCGTACCTGGTGAAAGAGTATCAAGGAATGACAAGGAACCGTTCAATCATTCGGTTTGGAAAGTAGTCAAGCTGATTTTCAGTAAGCTCCACAGTATTTATTTGCTTTATATTTGTTTATCCATCAGGTTTCACTTATGAAACAATGGTTGACTATTTGAACGTTGCACATCAGTTTGTTCGTATTGGTACCATCCATCCGAGCATTGCGATATACAGTCGACCACCACTTGGTTTCATCATTTTGCCAGTGTGATGGGTGATGATAGACCTCGCTTCCAAATGGACCACCCGCGGAGGAGTCAGATTTGTGTGTTTGTTTTACTGATGACAGTAGCCTTAGCCCAAAGCAGCAGTAAAGTCTAAATCAACTGTTCCTGTCATCAGAACAGCAGTTGGTTTCGCCTGATGATGAGGATTGCTTTGACAGTTTTCGCTGTCTCATATCTTTCATCAGGCTACTCAGTACATGATCGAGAATGCCTCTCTGAGTCAGTTTATACTAGGACTAGATTCGAACAGCTTCTTAATCAGCACTTACAGTCATCATGTATCTTCCTCCGCGACCACTCCGCTACACAGGAGGACCAGTACGTATACACAGAAAGAATATTATCCAGCATCGATTACCAAAATGAATCAATAAAGTACAATTGATTCACGCACACAGGCCACGAACCGACGATAAATTGAGTGTATACCAAGTGACTAACGTCAGTTAATAAAGGATGAGATTAGGCGGCTCCAAGCTGAAACAAGTATTGTGTTAGCAGAAGCAGTTTCGTTAGACACCCACGGCTGGCTTGGACTAAAGCTACTATCTAGGGTCATGAGTTTCATATGTCCAATAAGCCTCGATTTTCACTTGAACGGAAGACTACAACAAATAAGTTGTATATAGTTCGTACGCCTTTGGGTCGTAAGTTTTGAATCAAGGTTTCCTCTTTATTGTCTTAGATGAAAAGCCGATGGTTCACCAATCGTATTATCGTCCCAGAATTTGGCTCTTCCTCTTCTCAGTTTGGTGGCAAAACACCTTCGCAATGGAANTGTAGCGCTTCCTCAGCAGACACTTTCAAACGCTTGGTCCTATGGGGGAATTCCGTGGGATGCAAGGTAAGGGGGATCAACCACAACCCGAGTTACACAAACCGGGTCATACTGAGGTTTACGCTATATCAGACTTCTGCTGACAGATCAGTGAATATGGTATTTGATTCATAAAATCAAAAAGAAACATTTTCTATGCTTCAAGTTTGAGTCACAGTTACTTGTGAATAGTGGTGTGGGATAATTGGTTTTTAATAATTTGAGCTAATTATCTTTCGGACTTCACCTTCACGCACAATCCTCAGCTCATCGATTCAACCATACACTCGGAAGCACTAGACTCGAACTCTGTGCTACTTTGCACTTGCAAAATAAGTCTTTGTTTGATATTCAATAGTACCTCTTGTCTTCCTGAATTTCCTTCTACTTATATTGGGGTGTAAAGCTATTATGATGAGAGTCCTGACCTTGACGCAAGCTGCGTCATCAGTACCCCCTCCCGCTCAACAAAGGGCCATTGGAGAAGGTCTTGACACAATTCTCTAATGCTTCCGTATGTCATCCTCGAGGTCTCTGTTCGAATAATGTTCTCGTGGTAAACGAAAACGATAAAACGTTTTCTTCTTCAAATGAAGCATTGTATTAGGGAATCTATGCATTGTTGTATGGGGATAAATGCATGGGTCGTCTCAACGACGTGAAAACGATAAATTATGCCAAATTTGTTTCTGTCCTAAATATTGAGCATGTGTAACAAAGGCATGGGTGGACAGTGGTGGCAGATTTTTCAGCCCAATACAGATCGTGTTGTGCTGTTTGCATCGCCTGAGGTAGCAAATATTGAACTCCAGTAGCCAACTCCATAAAGAAAGCTGCTTGGAATGCAACCTCCCTGAAGTTGTGTCATGTATTAAAAACCGTTTACGATTTTTTCGATCCCAAAACCTCATTTTGCATCGGGTGAACGTGACCTGAGAGACAGATACTTTGTGGATTTATTTTGTTGATTTGAATCGGAATTAGGCCCGTAGTATAAGCACATCGACGTTTTGGCGATTGAGGAATCACGCTTATTTTGATGAACAATTCATTTCCAAAAGCTGCGCAATTCCATCAACTGTTAGTAGAATATTATCACAGTAAAACATTTACCCAGCATTATCCCCAAGGGTATCATCATATACTGAACCCTACCCTGTTTTAATTCTCCTCATTTTTTAGGGGAAAAATGGACGCCAGCATCTCGATCTATCACTACAGTTTTTAACACAACCGTAACAGTATTCTCACCCAATGGCTTATAAATTAGTCAATGCTGATATTTTCCTAAATGTAACTCATTATTCGTTTCCTTGTTTGATATTACGGGACACTGTCGAATGCGTATTTGCTATTCAACTATCAATGAGTTCGGATAAAGGATGACAACTCTACTATGAATCAATCAGACAGAGAAAAAGGAAAGCGCCTAACCCCAGACAAAATGTTGCGCTTTGCTGTTGCACATCCGTTTATGCCGTTCTTCCCCCAGGTATCGGCATACTGCTCACCATCGGGAATATTGAGAAAAGATTTCCGCATAATGTGATGATACCAATTCGCGTGTCGAATCAGACGGAACGATCACAGCGGATAGCCTAAGGACAATTTGGATCAATTATTCATTATTAACGCTGATTACAGATGTTCAAACAGAGTAAATGATTGGATTCTCCTCTCATGGCTTTAGAAACATAGGCACGAACTTGTGTTATTTATTTGATCCAAGCCATTCCTTAGTGAA